ATTGGTCCAAGTGTAACGGCTACCCCTAAACCCTAGATCCATCAAGTTACATTGATTAATAAAATTTCCAAAGTTATCCGCTCTATTATTACTTATTGGGAGACCACCAAATTTTTCATTAGCACTAATAATTTCATTAAAATCTCCACCTATGAGCCAGGGACCATTAACATAGTTATCATGGAAGTAAATTAGATTTTTCCATAGTATATTCCTAACCTCATAATAATTACTAGCATAAATAGCGGATAATAACCATTTAGGAGTGGATGGACATACCTGTACAAGGCAGTAAATTTCTTGGTCTGACATTCTCAGCTCTTCAACAGTAATCTGTATGTCATGCCACAGCACGACCAAGCCACCTATGAGCCCATTCGCAGATACTTGTGACATTTTAGAAAACTGGAAATCATCACGAAGTACTGAGTGGTCTTGCATGTGTGTCTCCAGTAGTATAGCCAAAGCTGGCCTATGATTGTCCAACAGTGATCTAAAGTGGCGCATAAATTCAGCATTATAAGAACCCCGGCAATTCCAAATTATAAAATTCATGATTGGGGTTGGATTGAGAATATGCTCGGTTGGAACTGGACTCTGGGGATTGGCAGCCTGCATGGCCATCATTCCTTGATCCTCGAGTGAGTGAGTCTGTCTGAGAGTCGGAATTATGACCATGGCATATTTCCCCGCCTCTCGATTTGTCGTCACACGGAAGTTTAGACTGCATTCGGCCAACTATGGAGGGCATTTCAGTATGAACTTTTTTTCGTACTTCCCTTGAGGTTGTAGAGATGAATGCCCCTTAACCACAAAAATTCCGTGCGAGTTTCCCTTATCGCCGCTAAAATTTCCACCAACTCCTGGTTTGTTTGTGTGTCTAGTACGTTTAGAGAAGGTGGTGGTGTTGAAGGTGGAGTTGATTGTGGGGTCAGTAGGTCGTATGGGCTCGGTGGTACTAGTAAAACTACTTCCTGATTGTTGAGCTCTAGTGTGAGGATCAACGCATAACCTTGGAGTCCTATCTCCAACCATGACTGGAGAGGTTGGTCTGTTATTTGTGGCTGGGATAGGTATATCAGAGGTGTGGATGGGTGAGGAATTTGTGGACCTTGCATGATGAGATGCGGAAGGTGAAAAAATTGGTTGTTGTGGTGTATTGCCTCCCTGAGATAGCTGTTATTTGGAGTGTTGTTGAAGGATGGACGTTGCATGGTCAAAGGAGGAAGTTTGCAGCGTAGAGGTCTGTGTTGTTGTGTTTGTGTCTATTGAAATCTCAGTAATAGTAGAGTTATTTCCTTTGTTAAAGGAGGGAGTTTTAATCTGTGGCTGACCAGTGCATATAGTAGGAGAAGGGGTGATGGTGGATACATGATGCTCTTCAGAAATCCTAGGTTCATAGGCTACTGTATCATGCAAATTAGATGAGTTAATGTCAATTTGCATAGGTAAAGCTGAATGATTTTGTCTTGTGGTTGGAAAGGTATCCTTCTTTGATTGGCCTGCCGTAGTGGCTGTGGTTAATGGAGAAGTTATCTCATTACGTGTCTTATGAAGGTGTTGTAGCGTGTGAGAGCTAGGGTCTGTTAATGTTGTTTGTGGGCAGAGGTAATTTTTGTTAATAGAGCTTTGGTAATTATTATCAGAGAAAGTGGTAGTTTGGGCTTGGATTGGTGGCCAGTTAAGTGAATTAACTTGGGTTTTAGAAGTGGATTCATGTGGAGTAGAGAATTGAATAATATTATTAGAAGCTTGATTATTGGGCCGCTCATAATTTGAATGAGCTGGTGGACTACTAGGAGTTATGTCAATATTAGGAAAGCCAGAGTCCATATCATCCTTAAGGGGTAGAAAAAAGTTTGATTGATTTTTAGTGGGCTTTTCCTGATTGTTTTGGCTAGTGTTGTGTAAGTGGGCCTTATTCGGCCCATTAGGTTGAGAGAGCTTACCTGTTGAAGCTGGTGGTGATGTCCTAGCTTTCGCCTCCTGTGCTAACCTCAGCGGCGAACTCATAGTACTGGCCAAACGATTGTCTGTCCATCAAGGGAAGTGAACAGTTTGCCATTCCATTTGTTGAGCCTTGACAGCGGGTTCTTAAGTAGAAGAACTAGTTTTAGTATTCGTAGTTGTTGTAGAAATAGTTAGTGAATTTTTGAAAGAAAAATTTAACGAGGCATGGCCAAATCGACCGCAGCTGGTGCAGAGAAGGTTGAGCCCCTCGTATAGAACAGATTGTTTGTTATTGCTAATGTTAAGGTGCGTTTTTAGTGGCTTCTCAAGTGGTACCTCAATACAGATGCGTGCATACCTTCCCCTGGTAGTAGTGGTGGTACAAGTATCTACCTTTAATAGTTTGCCTAGTTTAAATCTCACCCTTTGTAGAATCTCTAAATCATAAAACTCAGTAGGGAGTTCAGGTAGCCGCACCCAGATAGCAGAGTACGTTAGCTGGGTATTTGAGGCGATGAATTTAGGTTCCCACTGACGTACTGAGAGAAAGTAGTTTAAAATAAACCAAGGACCGCCATAAAGAGCTTTGATCATATTTTCTTTTTTCTGAAATTTGATGAGAAAAAAATCAGACCCTAGATCAGTTAAAGGCATTTGTTCACTTGGTTGCCATAGGGAGATAAGTTTTTGCTTTAGTAATTGATGACCCAATTTTTCCCCAAAAACTTTAACAATTACAGAGTATTTCCAGGGGATATAGAGACGTGATTTATCCTCAGTGGTTAAAGGGATGAACATATCTTCGTCAGTGTCAGTAGGTGTTGTTTCATCTGAGAGGTCAATACTTGGTTGTTGTGGAAGTTGGCTGCCAGAGTTAATCAGTGAGGAGTTGTTTGTTATCAGTGTTTGGAGAAATGTTCATTGTGGGGCCAGCGATGATGAAGGTTCATCAATCTGCATCTTGCCTATGTCAAGTGGTTCTTGAATCTGTTTTAATGGGGGTTTATCTGGGGGTACCGAAGGGGGGTCACCAGGGCGTTGCCCAAAGAGATCAATAGTGGTCATACTGTGGTAATTAAGGTTTTATGGAAGGAAAGCGATGAGAGTATTGTCGGAGAAGTGGCCGGAAATCGTCTATCAATTGTAAGAGAGCAACTTCAGACATGCGATCCAAGCTGAAAAAGTTAAAATGTTTAAATGATCTTGTGGACAACTTAGATAGGCAATAAGTTTCAAAATAAAGAGAATAGGAAAATGAAAAATTATTAGTTATATCAGCCCATAAGTAAGTTAATACAAAAATTAGCCAATTCACAAAATATTAGCCAATTAGCTGTCTGTAGCAAAAAAAGTCAAATTTTTGCTTTCTTTTGAGTGGTGTTGTTAGAATAAATTGGATAAATTTTAAGGAGTTTAAATCTCAGTTTTAGAATAATATGGTAGAGTTTTGAGGTGGTTTGAATCAAAAATTTGAAGTACAAGATGAACATGGAAAAAGACGATATGTGTATCACACTTTGTATCATTTGTGTATCACATATGTATCATATTTGTATCAAATGTGTATCTCACACACACACACACACACACACACACACACACACACATATATATATATATATATATATATATATATATATATATATATATATATATATATATATATATATATACAAAGGCAGATTCAAGTTTTAAACTTTATGGGTTCAGAGTCGCAATTCTACCACATATCTTCTAATTTAGTAGGTTCAAAATTTATTACTTGTATATATTTAATAATTTTTTGGGGAAAAATTACAGAGTATGAGCGAAAGCTATGGGTTCAGTTGAACAAATAGCTTCTAGACTAGATATCGCTCTTTATGTATACATGTGTGTGAGATACATGTTTGATATATGTGTTGCAGAAGAATCTTTTCAACTTGATTTTAACTACGAATTTTGATACCAAATCACCTTCAATCTTTCTCAAATTTTATCACCTTGTTTGGTATGCCATCCATGACATTTCCGTTCCGTCTTGTATTTAAAATTGCTGATCACGCTTAAAAATATGGAAGGAAATCTTTACGTGTGGTTCTTGGAGAGAAAGAATCCTTATTTATTTGAATTTTCAATTTTTGTATATGCTTGGCTAGTTTTGGTAAATTTATAATTATGACTAGAAATTGATAAGTTATGACTTATTTGGAACTTTTCCGTAAGATTCCCAACATTAACACCAACGAAACTTAAGTTTACAGAGATGTAAAGGTCTTAAAAATCTATTAATAAGTCTATCTATCCAACTGGATATGTTGTGATAAGGTTAACTTGGTTTATTATACCTTTGGTCAAAGTTAGGAAAACTACCCCGCTATGAGTCTTGACTTTTTATGTGTCAACATGGTTATCGTTTGTTCAAAGATAATGGCTTATTTGAATGAAAATTAGTCAACATACTTCATTTAATTGTGTATGCATGTAATTACAAATTCAATGGCCATTGATGTAATATTTGCAATATAGTCCCTTAAAGTTTGAATTAATGTGGTTTAATAATATTACAGATATTCAATATATATTTTTAGAGAAAACGTATTACGAACAAATAGTATTATACTTCAAATAAAAGAAAACAAAAAATAAAAATTATGAGATATAGAGAACTAGACCCTAAACCAATAGCAAGTAGAGACATGACGTTCAATATATATTTTCAGGAAAAAATGTTCAAGTGAATCTCAGTCTCAAACCCACATTGTTCTCAAACGAAGTATATGGTATTATGGCTCAAACCTCAAAATTTGAGCTGTAATATTCAAACTCCATATTGGAGATAGATGAAGATGAATTTTAAATTACTGGATGGGATAATCTTTTGGTTAAACATGTGTTTTTTTAAGGTATACCAAAAGATTCAAACAGTTAGGTCATAGATACAATCTAATGTGAAGGCTGCATTGAGTTTCGTTTGACCAAGCAAAATCTGGTCCATTTTTACAACTATTTTAGTTATCTAAATCCGGAATGAGAAATTGTCATTCCTAGTTGTATTTTAGTAATCTTTTGTTAGCTCTATAAATAAATAGCTCAACAGAATAACATCCTCAAATCAGCGCATTCAGAGAAAAATGGCCTTTTACAAAGCTGGTATCCTTTCTCTCCTCCTATTATCCGGTAAGGCTTCTTTGATATATATATATTTGAGACACATCAAGCCAAAATGTCATTTTATATCTTTACTTTGTGTTGATTTGGGTGCTTTAATTTATAGGTATATTTCTGTTGGGAATTAATGAGGTGAAATATGTAAATGCCAAGTCATGTCTCCAGTTTTGTGATAATGAAGTGGCATACATGACTTGTCCCTCTTCAGGAGATGAGCAAATTAGCCCAGTATGTGTCAACTGTTGCACAGCAGATGAAGGTTGTAAACTTTTCCGCACTGATGGATCATTAATTTGTACTGGAACCCAAGATTAATTGATCCTTGTCAAAAATGTAATGGTTAACTAAAATCTCTATACATACTCATATCATATGTGTGCAATAAGGCCTGAGTTTATGATTACTCAGGTGATTTCTAATGTGCAATTATGTTTGCATCCTTTGTCTAAGCTTGTAAAGATATGAATAAAAAGTAATAAATTATATCTATCACAATGTCATTTGCTGAAGTTTAAATTCTTTGCATGGTAACAAGCAGCTGAAAAGATAGCGCTAGCTAGTGACCTAAAGGAAGAGTTAGTACAGTAAAAAGGTTGAAATACATTAACTTATTATATACTGGAAAGTTAGCCGTTGGACCAAATCATAGAGATGGTACTAAGGGTGTAATGTGGGCCGGGCCGGGCCTAAACGGGCTTCGTGGGCTTTTGGTAGGGACCGGGACCACGAGCTAATGGTCCCAGGCTAAGTGGGACGGTCCCGGGCCTATGTGGGCCCAACGGTTAATTTCAATTTTTTTAAAAAAATTTGTTATCTAAGGCAATTCCTTGTAAAAATTATACTATAGAATTGTGAATTCAAATTTAAACACAAAAATATTGTAAAGAGATATTCAAAGCAATGTGTTATAATTTTATTATAGCATTAACAAAACATGGCAATATCTTTCTTGGTCTTCCTCCCCCCATGGAATGAGCACAACAAGGTGCTAATACCACCATTGAGAAGAAAAAGAAACTAATCAAGATGTGCCAAAATACAAGTTACATATTAATTTTACATGGTATCTCTTACAAATTTCATAAATCCTTCAAGGTTCGGAGGAATTTCCGTTGGTGGTGGCGGAAAAGAAGCTTGTTCATCACCGTTTCCTGGCAAAGCTGCATCCTCCGCAAGTTGAGCTAGCATTTCTTTGTAACCTTCGTTTACCTCTGGTTGTGATTCAGCAAGTCCAAAATTTCTTCGTTCCGAACGGATCCAATCTCTGAAAAGTACAGATTTTTCCAAGCTCTCCCTCATAGACGCTCTATAATCACCGAGTTGAAGTCTTGCTTGACTGAAAGCGCTCTCTGATGCCAGTGTTGAAGCTTGAATGGTTAAAATATCTCCGGCCACCCTTGAAAGAATCGGAAAGTGTTTTTCTTTATACTTCCACCATTTTAAAATATTAAAGGAGCCGTCGGGATTCACTTCCTCAATTCCCTGTGACAAATAAACTTCAAGCTCATTTAGTTGTGAACAATCACTAGTACTAGAACCTTGAGAACCCCTAAGCAGTAAGTGCTCTTACTCCCGCAGTTCTTTTAAATGATTGAGAATTAGAAGAAGAAAGAGTTGGAACATTTGGTCTAGCATGATCTATTGCAATTTGATAAGCACTATAAATAGTTTGAGCATTTATTTTAATTGAGGCTTGTGCTTCCGAAAGTGTAGACAACTCCTCATCTTCAAGTGCTAAACCATTATAAAAAATTTGATACCAAAATTGAGGACCTCCGAATTTCATAGTAGGATTTAACAAGGCAGCAACACCATAAATAGGGGAAATAGGGAAAAAAATATTTTTTAAACTTCTTTCTCATCGAATCAATAGCTTGTTCATAAATTTCTCCACCCTCTGAAAAATAAGCAAACAAATTTGCAAGTTCTGCAATATAAACTAAATAGTTAAAAATAGTAGGATAATATTGCCCAGAAAATTCATTTGTAGCAATATGAAATTTTTCTAAAAAATCTACAAGTATTTTAATATTAGCCCAATCCGCATTTATAAGGTGCTCATCATCATCACTTACATGAGTATCAAACGTTGAGTTTATGGAGTTTCTATATTCATATGCAACAACTAAACTTTCATACATGTAATTCCATCTAGTTGGACAAGGTTTAGGAACCTTTCTTTCTCTTAGGCCAAATTCATCGCGTCTTTTAAAATATTCTCTAAGTCTACTTCTACGGTTTGAATAAAAAAGCCAGTGAAGAGCCATTTTAACTTTTCCAATTTCAACATTTAAAATTCTCATACCATCACCCACAATTAAATGGTAAATATGACAAATACATCTAACATGAAAAATGATACTAAATGCAGGATTTAGTGTAGTGGTAAGCAAGGCTACAACATTAGTGTTACTAGTAGCATTATCCATTGAAATTGACATTATTTTATCACTAATACAAAAATATCTACAAATATCCGTAACCGTGCTAGAAATAAACTGCCCTTGTGTGACGTGAATTAATTATTCTATAAGTGATAATGCGCTTTTACATTATCCAATCCTCATCAATCCAATGACAGGTAACAGTAAGATAATCACAGTCATTACCACTTCTACCAATATCAGTAGTAACAGCAACACGACAATTAATATGAGTAAATAAATAACGCAAATATTGTTTGTTCATACATGTTTATATTTATAAATATTGCCTTTACGATTGTGCGAGGCCATCCTTTATAAGTAGGATTAAAAACTTTTCTAATATAATGCACAAAGTGAGGCTTAGAAGGAAAACTATAGGGTAAGCACGTAACAGTAACCATTTTTGCCAGTTTTTCCCTATCTTTTCTTGGATCATAATATAAAATACCACCGGTAACAGTGTTAATTCCGGTTGAAATTAATTTGACCCGGTACTAGGGTCAGGCTGACTAGGTACACTTGTCCCCGCAGCTGAAACTTTCATATGAAGATATTTAACTTTATCTTGAGGGTGTAGCATTATGTGTCTCCTCAAACTTCCCTTCCCCCCGATCAACATAGTTAAAAGTTAACTCTTTGCCACAAGTTTTACACTTAGCTTTATTTTTTTCTCTTATTTGAATAAAAAATAGCCAAACAAGAGATGTTTCGGCTCGTTTAGAAGGTTGTCTAGAAAAATTAGGGGTAGTAATAGGGGGGTCAGACGGGGCATCATTTGGATTAGTTGGGTTAACTTCAGCAACAGGACTAGTGGGTGTATCGTCATCCGGTTGCGTTTCGTCCAAATCTATTTCCTGCTCATTATCTTCATCAATAGTTGGATTACCATAAAAAGCATTCATATATTCATGGTCTAAGTGTTCACCACCTCCAACATTATGCAAATATTGACTCTCAGTAAATTGTAATGACGCATTATCACTATCAAGAATAGGAGCAGGTGGATGGCGGGATGGCGTTTGGGTAGGGGAGCCCGGGGGAATTGGAGGAGGAATAGATTGACCACTAGATTCACCACTTTTTGGATTTTCCCTTATTTTTAAAATATTTTTTTAACGAAAAATCCATCTTAATTAATCAAACAATACAAAAGTAAATAAAACAAAACAAAACTATAATATTAAAACTTAAGAGTTGGAACGAGTTTACCGAATTGACGAACAACTTGTTGAAAATTATATATCGTTGAAGACTTGAAAATTTCAATTGACGAACAACTTGTTGAAAATTATATATCGTTGAAGACTTGAATACTTCAATTCACCAACTTCACAATTTTTCACAAATTGCAACAATAAAGTAAGCAATTATAGAAGAAAATTAGAGAGAGAGAGATTGAGAGATTGATGATGTTGTGAGAAAAATGAAAGAATGAGCGGGTATTTATAGTTGAAAATAGGGAAAAAGTGTAATTATAAAAAGTTTGGGGTTAAAACAAAGTTGGGGGAGGAGGGGGGGTAGGGGTAAG